TGCGGTGGCTAGGAGCGGCCACTGCACTCCAGTCTGGGTGACAGAGTGAGACTCCAACTCGAAAAAATAAAAAATAAAATAAAATAAAGTATGTCACAAATGCTTAAAATATATGTGGATACCCCTCTATTTTATCATTTACCACCATAAAACACATGTAAATTTACTATTAAAAGTTAAAATATGTCAAAGCTTAGGTACACAAAGACTGTGCATGGCACTGCTTGGAGGCTGGAGAAACGTGAGCCAACATGAAGATGTGGCATTAAACCCTCACTGCTGCGCACACAGTACTACTGGAATACTGTTGTAGCACCGCCTGCTGCTACTCCAGCAACTTCACCTGTTGCCAGCATTCATGTAAAACACTGTGTGACGACATGAATACTCTCCAGGGTGTTCCTGTCAGGGTGTCCATGCATTTTTCATCTGTTTACTACAACACCATAAACCCTGAACAACAACATGGGGCCCAGGGCCCACACAAGGTGCCACTAGTGATGCTGAAAGTGCTCCCAGGGAACAGAGAACAGTGAAGACATTGCAAGAAAAAGCTGACCTGCTCGATACGTACCACAGATTGAGGTCTGCAGCTGTTGTTGCCTGCCACTTAGGACAGACGGTTCATCTTGTAAACAGATGACATAAGCTTACCTGTTGATATAGTACAATATTGTACATGTATTTTTTTCTTATGATTTTCTTTCTTTCCTCCTCCCTCCCTTTCTCTCCCCCATCCCACATCTCTCTCTCTTCTTTCTTTTCTCTATCCTCTCTCCTCTCTTTCCTTCTCTTTCTTTTTTGAGTCAGGGTCTCACTCTGTCACCAAGTTGGAGTACAGTGGCATGATCATGGCTCACCACAACCTCAAATTCCTGCTCAAGTGATCCTTCCACCTTTGCCTCCCAAGTAGCTGGGACTACAGGCATGTGCCACTATGGCCAGCTGATTTTTGATATTTTGTAGAGATGTGATTTCACTATGTTGCCCAGGCTGGTCTTGAACTCCTGGGCTCAAGCGATTCTACTACCTTGGCCTCCCAAAGTGCTGGGATTACAGGTGCGAGCCACTGCACCTGGTCTCTTATGTTTTTCTTTTCTTTTTTTTTTTGAAAGAAGGATTTATTGAGAAAACAGAAAAGCTCGCTCCCATGGTGAGAGGGGACCAGAGGGGGTTGCCCCTCTTGTGATTTTCTTAATAACATTTTCTTTTCTCTTTTTTCTTTTTATTGTAAAAAAATCATACATATACATATACACATAACATATAAAATATGTGTTAATCAACTGTTTATTATTGGTAAGGCTTCAGGTCAATAGCAGGTCATTAGTAGTTAAGTTTTGGGGAAGTCAAAGTTATACATAGATTTTCAACTGTGCAGTGGTTGGTGCCCCAATCCCTGTGTTGTTCCAGGGTCAGCAGCAATTGACATGCTAAGAAGAGGAAATAAAATTACATAAAATGTTCACTTAAGACCACAAGTGTAGAAAAAGAGCAGAAAACAAAAACAGGAACAAAGATCATGGGCAATGAAGAGAAACAATAACAAAATTATATTAATTCAACTATATCAATAATCACTGGAAATACCAATGGTCTAAATACATCAATTATAAGACAGAAATAAAGCAGATAAAAAAACAAGACCCAACAATATGTTGTCTATAAGAAACCCACTTTAAAGCTAAGGAAACAAATAGATTAAAGAAAGATAAACCATACTAACACAAATCAAAATAAAGTTGGAGTAGTATATTAATTTCAGATAATGCAGACCTCAAAATGAAAGTTATCAGGGACAAAGAAGGGATTGCATAATGAAAGAAGTCTCGGCTCCAAGAAGATATAAAAACCATCAGCATGTTTGTGCCTAGCAGCAGAGCGTTGCAATACATGAGGCAAAACTGACAAACCTGCAAGGAAGAGCAAACTCATTCACTTTCCTAGTTGGAGATGTCAACACCCTCTGCAGATGCCGGAATGCTGGATCCAGTAAGTGGGAAGTCAGTGAGGACACAGCTGAATGCAACAGCCCATCAACAAACTGGATGCAATGGGCATCTACAGGCTTCATCATCCTGGCAGCAGCAAGTACACGTTCTTCTCAAGCTCACATGGAACATTTACCAACTAGCCCACATTCTAGGGCATAAGACACACCGTAACAAATTTAAAAGAACAGAAATCATGCAATGTCTGCTCTCAGACCACCACAGAATTAAACTGGAAATCAACAATACAAAGAAAACTGGAAAATTCCCAAATAATTGGAGGTTAAACAACACACTTCTAAATAACAAATGAGTCAAAGAAATCTCAAGAGACATTTAAAAATATCTTGAACTAAATAAAAAAAGAAAAAAACAACTTATCAATATTTGTGAAAGGCAATGAAATCAATGCTTAGGGGGAAATTTACAGCATTGAATGCATTATTAGAAAAGAAGAAAGATCTAAAATCAATCATCTAAGCTTCCATCTTAGGAAAGTATAAAAGGAAGAGGAAATTATACCCAAAGTAAGCAGAAGAAACAAAATTAAAATTAGAGCAGAAACCTATGAAACTGAAAATAAGAAATCAACAGGGAACAATAAACAAAATCACAACTTAGTTGTTTAAAAAGATAGATAAAATTGATACATCTCTAAGTCAGGTTAACTAAGAAAAATGGAAGGCACAAATTAATAACAGAAATGAGAGAGAGAGATTATCACTACAGATCCCATGAATATTAAAAGGATAACAACAGATTTATTATAGATAACTCTATGCCCACAAACTGATAACCTAGATTAAATGGGCCAATTCCTTGAAAGAAACAATCTGCCAAAACTCACAAGAAAAACAGACCATGTGTACAGGTCTACCACAAAGAATTGAATCAATAATCAATAATCTTCCAAAATAGAAAGCACCAGGCCCAGATGGGCTCACTGGTGAGTTGTCCTAAACAGTTAAGGAAGAAATTATGCCAGTTATCTATTATATCTGCCAGCAGTGGAAGCAGAGAGATTATGTCCTTACTCACTCTGAGAGGCTAGCATTACCCTAATACCAGACAAAGACAATACAAGAAAATACCGATCAGTATCTCTTATGAAGATAGATACAAAAATCCTCAACAAAAAAAGTAGCAAATAGAATACAACAATCCAATAGAATTACAAATGACTATTAAGTAGGATTCATTCCAAGTATGCAAGGCTGTTAAACATCTGAGAACCAATGCAACAGGCTGAAGAAGAAAAATCAAATGATCGTATCAATAGGTGCAGAAGCATTTGACAAAATCTAACACCCATTCATTATTTAAAAAAAAACAAAACAACTTTCAGTAAACTAGAAACAGAGGGGAACTTTCTCAACTTGGTAAAGAGCATTAGTGGCTCAGCCTGTAATCCCAGCGCTTTGGGAGGCTGAGGTGAGTGGATTGCCTGAGCCTGTGGGCTCAAGACTCGCCTGGGCAACTTGGCAGGACCTCATCTCTACAATAAATCAAAAAATTAGCCGGGCGTGGTAGCGCACACCTGTAGTTCCAGCTACTTGGAAGGCTGAGGCGGAAGGATTGCCGGAGCCCAGCAGGTCGAGGCTGCGGTGGCCGGGAGCGTGCCACTGCCCTCCAGCCTGGGCGACAGAGTGAGACTCCAACTCAAAAAAAAACAAACAAAAAAAGAGCATCTACAAAAACCTACAGCTAACATATTTAATGGTAAGAAACTAGACGCTTTCCCACTAAGACCAGAGATAAGGCAAGGATGTTCCCTCTCATCACACCTTTCAACATCATACTGGAAATCCTAGACAATGCAACATGACATGAAAAGGAAACAAAAGGTATACAGATTGGGAAGGAAGAAATGAAACTGTTAACAGATGACATGACAGTCTATGTTAAAAATCCCAAAGAATCAGCAAAACCAATAAACAATAAACAAAATCAAAACTTGGTTGTCTAAAAAAGATAGATAAAATTGATAAATCTCTAAGTCAGGTTAACTGAGAAAATGGAAGCCATAAATTCATAACAGAAATGAGAGATTATCACTACAGATCCCATGAATATTAAAAGGATAACAATATATTTATTATAAATAACTCTATGCCCACCTTGTGAAACTCATAAGTGGTTACAGCAAGGCTGCAGGATACAAGGGTTGGGAGCTGCACTGTGCCCTGCCAAAAGGCTTTGGCAAAGTCCTCACCCCTAGAACCTTAGAATGGGACCTTATTTGGGAAGAGGTTCTTTACAGGGGTAAGCACATTAATATGAGGCCATTAGGGTGGTCCCTAATCTACTGTCATTGGTGTTCTTATAAACAGGGGAAAGTTGGACACAGAGACAGCCAGGCACAGAGAGATGCTGCGAGAACATGGTCAGAGGAGAACCTGTAGCAGTGGTTGGAGTGATGAACGGCACGCCAAGGACACCAAGACTGCCAGGAGACCCAGAGGCCAGAGGGGAGGCACAGAACAGACTCCCTCAGGCCCACAGGAGGATGCAGCCCTCCTATGCCTTGACCTCAGGCCGCTGGCCCCCAGGTACATTACTTTAATAAATTCTTTAAAGACGAAAAGATAATGCCTAGAAAATGTGAACCCAGGGAGGGTGCTGGTCCATCGGGTCCTGCATCCCGTCCTGGCGTCTGCCCTTCAAGGCTGTCTGCACAAAAGTCTGCCTTTGGCTGCTGTCCACCAACAGGCAGCTGCATTCCCTCCTGGATGCCTATAGTGCTGTGCTCGTACCTGACAAGGCTCCGGGCATCTGGAATGCCCTCTGTGGAGTCCAGGGAGTCCTCTGCAGCAAAGCACAGCCGGGACGCCTCACGCTCACTCGCTCTCACTGGTCGGTCATCTAGGAGGAAATGCACAGGACTGTGGGACAGGCGGGCAATGGCCACTTCTACCTGGGCCGACCCGCCCCAGACCCAGTACAGGACGCTGGGCGCTGGGGACACACGTGGCTTCCCAGAGGGGCCAGGTGCAGTGCTGAGGCTGTTAGCTCTCGCCAGGCTCACTGCTGCCTGCAGGAAGGGCAACATGGCTCACACATGCACAGAGATACACACACAGAGGCTCACACACACACATAGAGGCTCACATATGCACACAGGGGCTCACACGCACACAAAGGCTTACACAGAGACACACACACAAGTGTGGAGGCTTACACACACATGCAGAGGCACACACAGAATTCTCGTCACAGTCGGGCAAACAGGAGTAGTCTCCCAGAGTGGAGGCTGCCTGGCCGGGGTACTTGCCACCTGGGCTCTGCCCTTCAGTTTGTTTCCCCAGCTCCCTGGGTCTCAGAAGGCTGTGCTCAAGTGCTCCTGGAACTGCCGTACGCAGCCACCTGGAGGCAAGAAGGTCCCTGATCCTCCAAACAGGTGCTTGGAACTTGCGGCACACCTTACTACAGAATCCAGTTCACAAACGGTGACCAAGTCCTCAGGCTGCCTCCCCAGGAGAGCAGCCCACTGCGCACCTCGGAATTGCATAACGACGCAGCAGATGAGCGAGTCGTCATGCAACGTCATTTCCATCGCAGAAGAGCCAGGGAACACTGGAGCTCCTGTATGGCGCCCAGTCAGGCCTGGGGCTCCTCCACCTCGTACGCGATGATGCCCTGAGGCAGCGCCCAGACCAGCCTCTCTTCCCACCTGCCCTTGTGCAAATTCCGGGCTGTTCTGCTGTGAATCCACACTCAACCACAGCCTCCCCTGCCGTCAACTGTCTCTGGACAGTCTCTGACAGATGGCTCTTTCCAGTTACTCCAGAAAGCTCCCAAGGTCACAAAGGAATGCAGCTTAAAAAGGTGGATGCCACTTACAAGCAAGCAGACCGCCACTCCAGGGTCAAAGCAGCCCAGTCCTCCCTGGGATGACACAGCACCACCCTGCTCCATGCACGACAGCCCTGGTGGCCCGGTCCTATCCCCAATCATGTACCCTCGCTGAGACATGCATGGGCTCCTCACCTTGCTTCTCACGTATAAGACAGGTGATGGCAACACTCACCTCTTGGGCTGCAGAGGTATGAGGCTAGGTCACGCACGCACAGGCTCACACATGTGCGACACACACAGCCCTTGCCGACACACGCAGACAGCAATGAAGGAAAGGCGAGGTCTGCCTCACACTCATCTTGTGCGCAGCGACGCCAGGGCTGGCCCAGTCCTAACCAGCCCGTGACTGCCAAAGAGCAAAGGTCACACAGACCCAACCTGCATACGGCCCGCAAGCAAGCTGCCTGTGGCTCCTTCCACCACAGTGACCTGAATGGACAGCCCAATCTCAGCGCTCTGAAAGACCGAGAGCTGCCTACAGCTGCAGAACGTGTGTACTCAGGGCACTGATGAGAGGGGAATGTGTTCTGTGCTCTGTTGATTCTTTTATTTTTGAAAAACTTCAAGGTGAAGAGGGAAGCCAGGTTTTGAGCAGCTGTGCATGGCAGATCTGATCCTAATGGCCACAGAAACACCAGTGAATGCTTCTGAGCCCCAGGGCTGTGCCAGATGCTGTCCTGGGAGCTCACAGGCATTAACCTGGGTCTCGTCACCATGATGTGTGGATGTGGCATTCACCACTTCACACAGGAGGACTGAGGCAAGAGGCCCTGGGCCCGTGGCGCTGTCTGCAGCTCCTGGATACACTTGCTCAGGGGCTGACAGGAGGAGAAAGTGCTCTATGCTCTGTTGAGGTGGCAGGAGCATCAGCAGAGACAAGAGACAGGTGCTCACGGCCAAGGCTATGCAGGGCAGGGAGGCAGGGAGGCAGGGGATGGTGGGAAGGTAACCAGTGGCTATTCCCTGGGGCCCTGCCTATGAGGCATGGCTGTGGGTGCCCTGGAAGCCCCACCCACAAATCTGCCACAGAGACATACTGTTTAGGAACATGGGGCTGTTAGATCAAAGGCTGCCATGCCTCGTCCCTCTCACCCGTCATAGGCAGGGCACCATGGATTCTTTCAGCTCCGCCAGCATCCTTTCAGGTGGAGACAAAGGCAGGTTGAGCCCAGCTGTCCAGCCAAGCTGAGACGATGCCCGGGGCCACTGAGGCGATGAGACCAAGCCGCTCAGGAGCGTGCCAACAGCTGGCAAGTGGACACCAGTGGACTGAGCAGCCTGGCCCATGGCCGTGCTCTCCCAAAGACAGGCCGCAGGTTGTTTCAGGGACTCAGCCACCGTGCTCAAGATCAGCCCTCTTCCAGGAGAATGCCACGGCACAATCCACCCATAAGCACAAGTCCCGGCTCACGGCCCCTGGCCCCGCCGCGCCTACCCTACCCAGCCGCCGCAGCCCGGGGAGCAGGTGCACCACGAAGAGGCGGTAGTCAGACTCGGCCTTGCCCACGGGGTTCAGCCGGAGGTCCACGTCCACGAGTGCAGGCAGGGTGTGCAGCCGGAACACCTCTGCCAGTGAGGAGATGCAGTTGTAGTAAAGGTTGAGGCTTTCCAATGCAGCCAGAAACTGGATGCCCTGTGAACAGAGGCACCGCACGCTCAGCCCCTGGACGCACAAGCAGCATGACAGCCATCACCAAGCACAGGCAGCCAGTGTGACACATGCATGTGCAGAGAACACGCCATTTCCAGAAAAAGCACAGAAATGATGCGTGTTCCCATGAGTGAAGTTCTGAGCTTACAGGGGTTCACCCAGGTCAAGCCACTCAACCGTGGACGCAGCGCTCTCATCACATCACAGGAAGGTGAGGGTACGAGGCCCCATACCCTCTTGCTCCCCAACTCTGTCCGTGGTCACCCTCCGGATTCGCAACTGGGGTGGGAAGTCCACCAGCCTCAACGGCACCACACACAGCCAACCTCCAGCAAGGTCTCAGTGTGCACCAAGCAGAGTGATTCACACACAAGACTTACTCTCGTTCGCATGTGACACTCCAGGTGAGAAATGCTAACGGCCGCTGTGCACGGGCTAGAAAGTGGAGGCTCAGGGAGAGGGCCAGCGCTGGGTGCTGCCAGAGTGGGGCCTGTATCTGACTCAAAGCCAGACTCACAAGCCCAATGTCACATGTGGTCTCCACAGAGCACCACGCCCCCGGGTGGGAAGACCCCCTCTCCGAATCAAGCCCTGAGCAGGGTGCACACAGCTTCCCCTCCTGCCTCTGCATGGGCGATGCCAAACTGCCACGCACGCTGCCCCGCCAGGCATATCGCAGCAGCCCTGCCACATGGTGCTAACCCCTGAGGGCTGGAGGCTGAAAAGCCAGATTGAATGGGCATGGGTGCAGAGAGCAAGTGGAAACCCACAGCAGCCAAGGGAGAGCTGCGCGCACACGCATCTCCGTCCCGGGTTCTTGTTTCACTTCATCAAAGAATGGCAATGAGATGTACTGTGACGTGTCGGGAAGCTGCCCACAGTGCACACAGGACAGACAACTCCACACACACTCACGGACAGCCCGCAGGATCACAGCATCTTCTCCATAGGCAAGTTATGCAGTTTCTTCTGAGAGACAGATCCAAAACTTACCTCTAGGCTAACCAAGGAGTTACGTGAGAGGTCTAGGGACTTTAGACCTGTTAAATGCATCAAAGAGTGTCCCAGGTGAGTAATTTTCTCTTGGTACGTTCCAGGAATAGACAACGACCGAAGTTCGGCTACAAATAAGAAAGGCTGAGATTTTAACCTTTTCCATTGAAAAGAAACAGGATAACAAGAGTCCAAATTCTTAGTTTCCAGACCCAAAGCAGACATGGACAAAGATCCTTTGTTTGGCCACCCTTTGCTCAGGCCCTTCCTGGCGAGCTCCAGTGGCGCAAGGGACCCCGCCGTGGTGGAGGGGCTCTTCACCCCGGGGACGGGACGTCTGCCCGCCCAGCCGTCTTCATCTGTAATCCCGTCAGGTTGGTTTAGCCAGAATCCCACTGGCCCCTGATGCTTCCTCTTAGTAACTTTCCATCCACAGCACCCCCTGTTCCTGAGCCGGGAGTCCCCACTGTCCCTGCTGCACTCGGAGTGAGTCAGGCCAATTGCTCTCCCCCTCTGCAAATCCCAAGTTGCGGCCCGTGTCTGTCTCGACAGTGCCAAGCAGAGTCTTCCTCATACATCTGCCAAGTGTTGCTAAACAAGATTTCCTCATTAAAGAGACAAGTACCAAGATGGGAAGGAAAGATAGAGGTCAGCACATGTCTCCTCTTGAGGAACAAAGCCCTTTGTTTTCCTTCTAACGCATGACTGTACGTCCTGGTTCTTTTTTCTTTCATTTTATGTATTTAATTTTTTGAGTGGGTCTCATGGTGTTGCCCAGGCTGGAGTGCAGGGGCACAATCATGGCTCACAGCAGCTTCAACCTCCCTCGCTCAGGTCATCCCTCCTCCTCAGCCTCCCAAGTAGCTGGGACTCCAGGCACAGGCCACCACACCCAGCTGATTTTCTGACTTTTTCGTAGAGATGCAGTTGCACTATGTTGTCCAGGTTGGTCTCCCACTCCGGGTCTCAAGCAGTTCTCTTGCCTTGGCCTCCCAAAGTGCTGGAATTACAGGCATGAGCCACCGCACCCAGCCCCTTTCCAGTCTTGTTATGGAGAGAGACACTAACCTCAGAATCTGAAAAAGTCACTTGGAAAATGATGCGACTTATTCAGGGTTCGACTCTCAATCCAAGAGCAAGGACTACACTCACATTTCAGCTCATGTTTATCTCAAAACATCTCCAAGCCCATGTCCCCCACCTTGCTGGCCTTCCCTTCATGCCCTCCTTACCAGAAGAGCCCCCCACTGACCTCCTACCTCTACCACCCCCAGCAGCCTCCACGCAGGCGCCATGATCTGACATCCACTGTCCCTCCCCCATTATGTCTGACCCTGCACACTCTGTGTACCCCGCACACCTCTGCAAGGCACGTTCAACAGGCAGCCATCACACACACGTAACAACAGATACTCAAGTTTCCGTACTCAAAGACAGTTCGGGTCTGAATACACCAGTGCTTTCCCAGGAGTATCTGTATCCTAAAATGTGTTTTAACTTTAAAGTTTGGGTTGAGTTTCTCCAGAGACAGAGCAGGTACACATCACCACTCCTCTCGCTTAGTACACCCAGACACCCTGGACAACTGTGCATCAGACAACATGGGAAAACTCTGAAAGGTGGGAACTCAGGGACCCCGGGACTCAAGAGTCAGCCCAGCCGTGAGTCCGTGAGTTCCCTGGCTTGGTTGGGGGTTTTCTGTCTGTCGACTGTGCCTCCTAGCCTGAGGAGGAGGGGACCCAGAAACACCAGTGGACACAGACCCACACGAGGTGACCCTCCGCCCCTGGAGGGGCCTTGCAGGACGACTCCGGGTATCATCAGCCCTACTCCAACCCCACACTCAAAGGGCACCTCATCCTCCCAGCTCTGCACCCAGCCAGTATCGCCTGTGGGCGGGGACCCAACCACTGGCCTGGCCTGGCCATCGTGGTGCCCTTCAGCCTCTCGGCCAGCAGGAGCTGTGTGCGGCGGGAGCCCCACCACCATCTAGGCATTAAGGCAGCAGCCAGTGTGCTAGAGAAGAGCAAAGAGACTCAAGTAGGAAGCAGTCTGTGATGCCAGACCCCCAAATCCACAATACAACCGCAAACAACCTAGAACGAGAAGACACAGTCAGCAGTGAGAAGGCACAGAAGTCAGAATCCTCTTGCAAGGACTTCCAAACCACTGTCAAAGAAATACTCCAATGAGCAATTACAAACACGCTTGAAACAAACGAAAAAGTAGAAAGCCTTGGCAAAGAAACAGAAGATATGAGGAAGAAAGAAACTGAAACTTCAAAACTGAAAAGTACAACAACTGAAACGAACAAAAAAAAATTGCAAGAGCAGCTCAGGCGCAGAATGGAGATGACAGAGATAACAAGAGAATAAACGCAAAGGCAGATTGATGGAAGTGTCCGGTCTGACCAGACAAACAAAACCAGACTAGAGAAAAAATAAAAATAAATAAACAAAGCCTCAGAGACCTATAGGAGAAGAAACGAAGATCTAACATCCATTCACATCTTCGGGAGTTCCAATGGAATTCCAAAGAGAAGAGACAGACAGTAGGCTAAACATAAAATTTTTTAATTGAAGAAATAATGGCTGAAAACTTTCAATCTGGTGTAGGTCATAAGCCCACATACTGAAGTTTAGAAACCCCCACACAGAATAAATCCCTCAAACGCCACGCCCAGGCACAGCCCTGAAGCTTCCAAAAACCAAGACAAGGGAAGAGTCTTAAAAGCCACCAGGGAGAAAAAACACACTGCCTTCTGAGAAGAAGCTACTCAAATGGCAGTGGATCACTCTCCATGGACCAGGGAGGCCCAGAGGAAGCAGCATATGGTTGTCGAGTGCCGAAAGAATGGAACTTTCCACCAGAAAGCTGCGTCCACCAGAAGTGGCTGTGGGCCAAAGGCTCTTCTCCAAAAGGAAAAGCCACCAGCACCTGTTACCAGCAGGCCTGCCCTCAGATGAATGCCACAGGAAGCTCGTCAAACAGAGAGGAAGAACACAGGAAACCTACAGTCTCAGGGATGCAAAAATAATGGAGCAGGTAAATATGCGGATGCATATGTCTCCTCCTGAGTTACTTAACAGGTTAGGTGGCTGTAAAAAAAATTATATCATCATTGTGGCTCTCAAGGTATGTGGAGGAAATATGTGAGACAATTCAATTCTAAACAGGAGAGGATAAAGAGACCTCTACATTTCACTTGGAAGTGGTAAAATGTCCATACAAGTGAACTGTGTTAAATTACATAAATATAGTGCAATTTGTCGAGCACACACTATGAAAACCACACATAGAGATATACTTCAAAACATAATCAAATTTATCAATCAAAATGGAATACTAAAAATGTTCAAGCAAACCACAGAAAGGCAGGAAAAAGGGAAAAAAGAAGAAAAAACAAAAGAACAAACAAAAAACAATAAAATGGCACATTTAAGTTTTAATACATTAATAATTACATTAAATGTAAATGGTCTAAATAAATTACTACAAGACAGAAATTTGCAGAACGGTTAAACGTAATGAACCAAAAAACTAATTTCAAATAAAATGACATATAGGTAGGTCAAAAGTTCAAAGTAAATATATAGGGAAAAGATATGTCATGCAAACAGCAATCTGGAGAAGAGAAAAAGTTGGAGTCGTTACACCAATCTCAAATAAAGTTGATGTCGCCACAAAGAAAATTACCAGGGACAGGGAGGAATACTACATATGCTAAAAGGGGCAGTCCACAAGAAGACATAAAAATCCTAAGTATGGAATGCACCAAATAACAGAACTTCAAAATATATAAAGAGAAATAGACAAATCCACAATTATAGCTGGGGGTTAAATGCCCCTCTCTCAGCAATTAACAGAATTACTACACAGAAAATAACCAAGGACACAGGAGAATTGAACACCGTCAGCCAATAGGATCTAACTGATACTTACATAACACTCACTCAACAGCATTCCGGTGCACCTGGAACTATCAACAATATAGACCAGATCTTGAGTCATAAAACAAACTCTAACAAACTGTAAGCTTAAAAACATATAGACCATGTTCCCTGACCATAATGGATCACACTGGAAGCATTGTCAGACACATGGAACCTTAAAAACACATAACTAAATGAGCCATAGGTCAAAAAGGAAGTCTCGGGGGAAATTCTTAAAGTACAATAAAAATACAACATAAAACTTGTGGATTCAGCTAGTCATGTTTAGAGGGAAATCTATAGCACTAAATATTGATATTAGAAATGAGAACTTCTCAAATAATAAACTAAAATGTTGCCTCAATAATCTAGAAAAGGAGCAAAATAAATGCAAAGCAAGCAGACAGAAGAAAATAAAGAACACAAATCAATAAAATTTGAAACTTGAGAAACACTGGAGAAAAATCGATCGACCCAAAAGTTGGATCTTTGAAATGACCAATACTATTTACAAACCTCTTGCCATGACTAAAAAGGAGAGAAGCTACAAATTACCGACACCACAAATGGAAGCGGGGCTACCCCTGTCACGTAATCCCCCGTCTCATAAAACCCACAAGACCGACTGGGCGCGGTGGCTCAAGCCTGTAATCCCAGCACCTTGGGAGGCCAAGGTGAGAGAACTGCCTGAACCCAGGGGTTCGAGATCAGCCTGGACAACCTGGCGAGACCTCGTCTCCACAATATATCACAAACATTAGCCGGGCGTGGTGGCGCGCGCCTGTGACTCCGGCTACCTTGAAGGTGGAGGCGGGATCGTCGGAGCCCAGCAGGTCGAGGCTGCGGTGGCCGGGAGCGTGCCTCTGCCTTCCAGCCTGGGCGACAGAGTGAGACTCCGACTCAAAAACAGAGACTCACGGCGCCCAAACTCCAGCATCCGGAGGCCGGCGGGGATGTCAGCGGGCCCCGCCCCCGG